ATGCCTCTGCATTGTGCACCAGCTGAAGCTTCCAAATACTCTTCAAGGGCAGCCCTATGTATTGTGCATAAGAACAGTTCAATCTGTGAGCAAAGCTTCCGGATGCAGGAACGGATACAACTGTTGCACAACACAAATTTGTGAAAAGGACCTCCTAGCCGTGACTGCCACCTGCTCTTTGGGCAGGAGTCGTGAGTCCAGGAGGACCTCCAGGTTGTGCACTGGGTCTGTCTGCAGCATTGCAATCCCAACCAGCACGAAAGATGACATACTCCTAGAAAAATTAGCCCCCAATAACCAGACACACTCAGTCTTGCTAAGGTTCAGCTGAAGTTTTTTTCCACATCCAGACCCCACAGCCTCCAGGAACTAAGATAAGATATTCACAAATTAACTCATTCACCAGAGGCAGAGGTGTATAATGGGGTTTCTTCAGCACACTTATGTTACCTCACCCGAAGGCAATGGATGAACTCACCCAGCAGTCTTATGTAGATGTTAAAAAGGAGACAAGAGAGTACCGAACACTGCAGCACCCCACATAGTAGTGGCCAGGGGAGAGACCTCTCCTCCCCAGTTATCACCAACTGGGATCAACCCTGAAGAAAGGAGATAAACCAGCACAACACCCACCCCCTATCCTCTGAGCTGATCCAGAAGGATACCATGGTTGATGGTGTCAAAAGCCACCGACAGGTCAAGTAGGGCAAAGATGAATACAGAACCTCCATTGGCCCATGCCAGAGATCATCCAAAAGCATGACCCATGTCATTTCCCTCCCATACCCTGGTCCGAATTCTGACTGAAAAGGATACAGATAATCCACTTCATCCAATGTTTTCTGAAGCTGTTGGACAGCCGCCTTGTAAACACAGTCGCACAGAAGAGGAGGTTTGATCCTAGAAGAAAATTGTCCAGTGTAGTGGGGTCTAGTGATGGCTTCTTACGAAGGGGATGAATCAAGACCTCTTTAAGATGAGGCCATACCTCACCCCTCTCCCAGAGTCTCCGCTGATGCCACACTCAAAATTCAGCCATCCGTTGCTGGGGGCAGACCAGTCTAATAGGTACAGCTTCCCTGCAGTGGATAGTGGCACTAGAGTTTCCCATGGAAATCAGGGCATGATGTGATCATGACTAGGGAGACACCAAAAACTCACCCAAGTTCAGATCACATGGCCACTGCTCTGGCAGGTACACAAAATCTAGAGTGTCACCGCTGTCCCACATCAGGCTCTGGATGACCTGGGATAGGCCTATGGCTGTCATGGGGGCCATGAACTCCTGAGCCACTTCAGACCCCATTCCTAAGGAAGTCAAATTGAAGTCCCCCGGGACCATATGTCTGGAGACCCCCACTGCCATTCCAGAGAT